GCTATTTTTTGGTTGCAGCCATCATTGTTGTTTGGCAGGCCCAGGCTGGATTCGAACCCACCACCTTAGGTGTATGTGGCTGGTGCCTTAGCCACTTGAGCCACAGGCACCAAAGCCAGAGACTATCTCAAAAAAATAAAAGTTTGTTGACACTCTGCGGGCGGTGGCTCACCCCTTGTAATCCCAGTACTCTGGGAGGCCGAGGTGGGTGGATTGCGTGAGCTCATGAGTTCCAGACCAGCCTGAGCAAAAGTGAGACTCTGCTTCTACTAAAAATAGAAAAATTGAGGCAAGAGAATAACTTGTGCCGAGTTGGAGGTTGCCCTGAGCTATCATGCCACGGTCCTCTACCCAGGGTGACAGCTTAAGACTCTGTCTCAAAACAAAACAAAACAAAAAAGTTTGTTGATAAAGATGCCCCTTGTGAATGTGATTTCTCACACACACACTGATCTTTTTGTTCATGGTTTACATTAGTCCAGGTCCTCTGAGAGGCAGATGCCAGGACATTTTAAGATGTGTACCAGACTCATTGGGGAATATGCCTGTGGAGGGCAAGGCAGGGAGCTGGAAAAGGCAGCAGTGGCCTTCAGATTGCTGCAAGTCTGACCCTTGTAAAAGAGGGGAGGGAAGACTGGGCAAGGAGCCTCTCAGACTGCAGCAAGTGATACCTTTGTAGCCCAAGGTTGCTGTCTATGTGCAATCCCAGCTACAGCGGCTCAAGGGAGTGCCAGGAGGCACGCAGTGGGTCACTTGGGTTCCACTTGTTTTCCTCCTTGCCCCATTGTGTACAAGCAGCCCTATCTCCTCCAGCTGCTTCCTACACAAAGGGAATCCAGAGTGTGCTGGCATCAGTCATAGTGCGCAGCTCTGGGATAGTGCCATGTTCCCTGGCAATCGTCACCCTCTTTGCTGTTCCTTGGAATCCCACAGTGGATCACTGGGACTGATGGAAAGCTGGGCTACTCTTGATTGTCCCCAAACCTACTGGAGACACGTATCCTGCAAAATGGTATTCCATCCTGGCCCCTCAGCTGTGCCTGTGGCTGGTGCAGTGTGTGATACAATCAGCAGGTTCCCCCACCAGGGACCCACCCCCTTCATGGGGAGGGAGTCACCTGGTTGGATGCCATGTTGCATCAGGTTTTCCATAAGCCCCCAGATGGTGGTGGTGTCCTGGTCCCTGTGGGCAGGAAAGGCAAACTCTTATCTGAAATAGGTGTCTATTGCTATGAGGAGGAACACATATACCACCCTGGCAATTTGAACAGGGAATATTTCATGTAAAGAATTATGAACTGTTACAGGACATTGGAGTTACGAGGGTGTGGCTGGTAGGAAGTAAAGAGGACGGTAAAGAAGAGAATAGCAGATGTCAGGAGAGCCCGACGCAGAGCCCTCCGCAGGCCCCCTGAGGTGACACCCTGATCTAGTAGGGAGGCCATAGCTCTGGCTCACTGGACAGCAGAGAAGTCACTGTGGTGCTCTGCTAGTGGAACTTGCTAGAAATCTGCCCTCTGGAGTGCTGGAGGGAACTGCACGGGGAGGTGTCTCACCAGAGGCTCCTGCTGTAAAGCTCCCTGGGGGAGGTGCCGGGTAGCAGGCACAGCTGGACATGGACAGGGAGCTGCCAGCACCCCATGGTCAGAAGGCAAAACCCTCTTCCTCCTGCAACGTCTCTCTATTGCCCTCTACTGGCGGAGCTTCAGTGCCAGAGAGCACAGGAAAACCGATTTACCTGGTCCAGGTCCATTTTTTTATTTTTTAAACACAGTCTCAAGTTGTTGTCCTGGGTAGAGTGCCCTAGAGTCATAGCCCAACCTCCAACTTGGTTTCAAGCGATCCTCTTGCCTCAGTTTTTCTATTTTTAGTAGGGAGGTCTCACTTTGGCTCAGACTGGTCTTGAACTCATGAGCTCAGGCAATCCACCTGCCTCAGCCTCCCAGAATGCTGGGATTATAGGCCTAAGCCAGCGCGCTGGCCTAGATTGTATTTGTTAAAACAGAGTCTTACTTTGTTGTCCCCAGTAGAATGCTGTAGCATCATGGCTTTCAGCAATCTCAGACTCCTGGGCTCAAGTGATTCTCTTGCCTCAGTCTCTCAAATAGCTAGGACTACAGGTGCCCGCCACAATGCCCATATATTTTTAGAGACGGAGGTCTCACTCTTGCCTAGGCTGGTCTGGAACTCCTGAGCTCACGCAATCCACCCACCTCAGCCTCTCAGAGTTCTAGGATTATAGGAGTGAGCACCACGCCTGACTCCAGGTCCATTTTTGCAGAGCTCAGATGGAAGACATTTATAACACTTCCATTTGTGGACCTGCCCTCCTATGGCCCGTAGGTCTCCCTAAAGAGCAGTGCTACAGGCTGGTGCAGTAGCTCACACCTGTAATCCCGGCAGTCTGGGAGGCTGAGGCGGGTGGATTGCCTGAGGTCATGGGTTCAAAACCAGCCTGAGCAAGAGTCAGACCCCGTCTCTAAAATTAGCTGGGCTTTTAGGTGGGCGCCTGTGGTCCTAGCTATGGGGGATGGGGGGGCCTGAGGCAAGAGGATCGCTTGAGCCCAAGAGTTTGAGGTTGCTGTGAGCTATGATGCCAGGGCACTCTACCCAGCGTGACAAAGTGAGACTGTCTCAAAAAAAAAAAAGTGCCACATCAAGGCTCAGCTCTGGTCTGTGTGGTAGACAGGGTGCACTGCCTCCTGGCTGCTCACTGGAAACCTTTTTTTGCTGTATCTTACCGGCCTTCCCTTGAATTGTGCTGTGATGAAGTTCTGGTCACTGAGAAGGAGAGAGGGAAGGACTGGACAGGAAAAATGTCATGCAGCGCATTCCAAGAAAAGATCATCCAGGCTGCCCAGGCATCCTCAAGCCAAAGTCACCCATGGAGTTCTACGGGAGCAGCCGAGGGGGAGGCTTGGGAAGTCCAGAGGGGCAGCAGTGGGGATCCACAGCCAGTTAGTTATGCTCCCAGTAGCAGGAGGTCTGAGGGCTGCATTTTCAGGGCTGACCCTTGCTGTCTGTAGCTGTAAAACTTCACCACTGACCCTATTT